AGGTCAAAGACCATAATAAAGATATTTGTAGAAGAAATCCAGATTAAGAAGCACCCTTGGACCAGCAACCTTATCCTTCTAGCCCCCTTTAGGCCAGACTATATTCAAAATCCAAATTAGTTTTACTGAATACCAGCATTACATTTTATTCAAATTTTATTAGGTTCAGATGCTAAAAGATTATGTGGAAGGCTGGATAGAGGCTATCATGTTAAGATATTTTTAAAAATCTTTCCAAAAGGATTATCTTGATGAACAAGTATTGTCTTCTCTTTTGAAATATTACAATGCAAAATCTTTTTCAACCAATTGAATGTGATTTGGAAGTTTTCTGCCTGGTTTTACCATGATCTCCTGATTTTGGAAATGCCCCAAAACAACTTAGCAGCACCGATGTCAGAAAATACCATAGATGACTATTCTTCAGTGCTGTATGTATTTATTTATTTATTTATTTATTTATTTATTTATTTATTTATTTATTTATTTATTTATTTATTTATTTATTTATTTATTTATTTATTTATTTAATTTCTATGCCGCCCTTCTCCCGAAGGACTCAGGGCGGTGTATAGCCATATTAAAACAACATATACCCACAAAATTTAAAAACAATTTAAAATATATTAAAAATTTGGCCCTTATAATTAAAAACTACAAACACCCCATTAAAATTCATTTTCTAGGCCAGCCCGGCCTGTTGGAATAAAAGAGTCTTAAGGGCACAGCGAAAGGTACGTAGTTGGGGATCATGTGAATCTCCGGGGACAGTTCATTCCAGAGGGCAGGTGCCCCCACAGAGAAAGCCCTCCCCCTGGGTGTCACCAGTCGATATTGTTTGGCTGACGGCACCCTGAGGAGTCCCTCTCTGTGGGAGTGTATTGGCCGGTGGGAGGCTATCGGTGGCAGAAGGCGGTTTAGACTGATAAAGAAGAAAAAATAGGATATTATCTCTGCCTCATATTTTCTTGTCATCAGAATTTACAGAATTTACAAGGTGGGTTTTCAGGTTGCATTTTTGGTTGTTGTTTCAGTAAACCTTTCAGCTGGAACACCGAATTTAGTCATAATTTCTGTGGTGAGAATATAGCCTTAAATGAAGGGAACCTCGTCAGAATAACTTTCATTCTGAAAAATAAAGAATAGAATTTCATCTTCTTGTTGTTCTATTTTTTATCTTTATGACAGCAATATGGGTCTTGGAATCCTCCCTCAGTACTCATTCATCTCAGAATTGAGTCTGCTATCATTTCTTATCTGATGGAAGAAGATTGCTCCCAAGCTTATTCTGCATCTTTAAATTGTCCTCCAAGCCTGCCTTGTGGTCACACTTTCTTTGCATAGCTTGAATGTTTAGCACTGGCAGCACTTTATGCTAATAGTGCCTAGATCTATTATATGGGGATTGTCCAAATGTTTTCTAGATGGCATCAAAGAATTGGCAGTTTCAATATTTCTTTGCTGGCATTTTGTGAAGTACTTAGATTTTTGTAGCCCAGATAAAGTCACGCTAATCATGCAAAAGTATTTCTCATGAGTTGAATTATTTATAGATATTGGAGATGAATAAATCTATTTCCACTATGAATCAACTTCATCAATCATGTGCCTATAATTTCTAAATCAGTCCTTGTTGCTTTTTACTTTGAAAAAAGACACTAAACATTATACTGATTTTCACAGATGACTTTCCCTAGCAAATGAATTTTTTTTATTGCAGAACATGTTCTTAATCAATGCATGTTTTGTGTGCAGTTTCTCTTATTATTTCATTCCATACCCAATTGCAAAACTGGAAAAAAGTGTGCTGCTGGCAGCTCATCTTGCATGAATTAAAGCGCTTGGCTTCAAATAGCAGACTAAATGAAATACTCCTCCACCTCCACTTATCAGAGACAGATTTAAAGTAGTCATTCAAAAAAAAAAAAAAAAAAAGGAGGTGGGAGATAAGGCAGACAATAGATACTGCTGTTAGAATTACACACCTGTCTTCTGCAATCTCCATGGCTCAAAGGAAATATATATTGGGGATTTATTTATGTTACTTACTTGAAAATCCCTGTGGGCTTGCCATGTGCTTTGTCAGTAGTAGAATAGCTCTGCAAAACAGGGCCATAGGATGTTCCCTATTTATACAAGTATTTGTAGATACATACCTAAAAGGTTTATGGTCATTGATTTCACTACTGTGATATTGAGCAGCTAACAATGAATTAACCAAAAAAGTATCCAAAATAATTCCAGTAAGAGGTTTCAAGCATCATCAATATACCATCTACCAAAGGTATACAGTCAGATAAGAAAACACCCTGTTTGTGCTAGTGAGTCCATTAATTGCCTATTCTTCCTGGTACCTTCCCTCATTAAATTCTCCTGGCCAAATCTTCATTGAATATCTGAAGCAACAGCTGCTCCATCTCCCTTTCCAGAAAAGCTGGGAAGCCCATTTGAGGACTCATTCTTGACTGCCACTCTTGGGTTGAATTTTCACTGTCATTTGTTCCCGCAGGAATATTTTCCAGATAATTCCTTGAGGCTGCTCATCTAGATTGTGTTTACATGTGGGAAAGATTTCAGGAAGGGCCATGCAACACTTTAACATTAAAAATACCACGTGCAGTTACATTAGTAAGTGAATGGTTCTAAAATTTTAATTAGGGTCACTGCACATGAGAAGATTTAGGCCTCCTTTCCCCCTCCCCCACTACATTTTCCATATTCTCTTGTATACGTAGCAAATTATGTATCTACACACATACATTAAATTAATGCAAATAATAATAATAATAATAATAATAATAATAATAATAATAATAATAATAATAATAATTGCACTTGCTACTTTAGGATCGCAAGGGTGTTTGTTTGGTAAATGCAATTATAAGACACCTATATTTATCAAATCTTCGTATGCTGATATAAATACAATAGTATTTCATTCCAAAACATGGAAAGAAGCTATAACTACTACTTTCCCTTAATTACAACTTGTGTGACTGCTACTGTTAACATAGTCCACCCACTGGAAATATTGACTGAGTGATAAGGAAGGAAGATAACCTAAGTATTGGATCAGTCCGTCCAATATATTACTGCACTTCAGCTCTGCTGCTGCAGTTGAAGAGGCTATTCGAATTTTGATATGGCTGCTGATACTCTGGAGTCTTTGCTAAGACCATTATCCCACCAGCCCATTACTAGCTAATGCATGTTCTAATTCTACTGGGTATTACCATGATGGCACTATTATTGGTTGTAGTACAGTGGATTCAAATAATGTAAATGTAAGTAAGTCTACTAAGCTAATTTCTATCCTGGCTGGGCAAGTCATAGCAAAGGAATCACTCACATTTTGACTCTGAATTGTCGGGAGACAGAATATCAATCTACAGCATATAAAAGAAAGGGAAAAAAAAATACTGGCTTTCACAAAAGGAGCTTACAGGCAAGATAACAATATAATCTGCATCTTGACACTTTCCAGATCGTCTAAATACATTAATAGTCCCTAACTTTGTAACATTTGTACTGTTCCAATGACTTTGGAGCTTTTTTAGATTTTGTGATACTACAACTCCCTAAAATAGTAAAATAACTTGGGTGAACCAAAAGAAACAATATCACTGGGTAAGAAAGAATATATGCCACAGATAACTAGGATATATTTTAATTTAGACTATATATAAAATATATAAAATCTCTACAACTTTGCAAAATCGTACAATTTTATAAAGCTGTTTTGTTAGAAACGAACAAAAAAAAAAAACTTACCAAATTTTAAATCATGTTTTTAGTGGAAAGGATGGTTTTGTTTATTTTTACTTTATTCCTGAAATCTGGGTATTTTTTTTTTTTTTTGGAGAGTGTTAATTTTTCATTTCACATTTAGATTTGATTGCTATTTGATTCTTATAACAGCAAGTGTTGACATAATTTCTGATATAATTCTTTGAAATTATTTGCATCTTGATTCCAAATTCAAACTGTGATAGATATTTTTAGGATTTTTAGTTTTAAAGAAGTGTTAGAAGAGACATTGATGAATTGCTCATCCTCAGTACAGCTGTACTGAAGTATCAGACAGCAGTTTAGCATGAAATAAGTCCACTAATTTCACTAACACAAATATTTCTAGAGACAATCCAAAGAGTTGGGGCTTATTATTACATGATGATGGATATTCATGATAGTCAAGGTGAACCCAACTCTTGGTAGTCAATAACAATCAATCTTCAGTATCTAATAATCATTTTGCCATATTATCAATAGGGGTCAGTTAGTCTTCAGAAATAAAACTCTTGTCATCTTTACAATGTAATACTCAGATCTGGAGCAGTACTCAAGGTGGTTTTTACTAATATAGAAGAAATTAGAAATTAGTGTCTGTGTTAGGCTGTGGTGTAGCCTAAAACTGCCCATGAACATTTTACCAGGGAAGAAGACTGAATGAATATTGTAGCATTAGGTCTGAGGGGAAAATGCTTGAAGCTAATCCATAGCCTTTGAAATCTCTCCCTCCCACCTCTCTCTTTCTCCCTCCTTCCCTCCCTCCCCCCTCTCCCTTCATCAAACCAAGACTTGTACTTCTGCTCTTTGGACAACTGCATCTGGCAATGACACAATGGTCCTTGATTAAAGTTGCGAATGTTGATTGTCTGTATTTTGCCCTCCTATCATCTGGTGTTTCTGTTGGAACCAATAGCTGGGACACAACGATGCAACTGCCTTGGGCGAATGGCACTTCTGTGGGTACAGCGCAATGGGTAGCAGTTCATCACGTTCAACTCTGAATTGCTATTGTGCCTGAAATGTCTTATTATTCGCACTGGGGAAAGAAGGAAGTTTTGAACTGTATATAACATTTTCCCTTCCAACTCCATCAATCTTTGTTGGAAATGTTTCACAACTTTGCCAACCATTAACTTCCATTGAGCTTAATAGGATTTATTTCTGAATAGACAGGACAGAGTTGCATTGTTTATGGTACCACATGGCCCCTGACACTTAAAAGTAGAGAGAGGAAAATTACAGCTTTGGACCTTTACATATACCTTTCTTACTTCATCGATAGCAGCTTTTCTTTAAAAGTTATGAGAGCAAAATATTTTGAATAAAATCTGTTTCTTCTCCTATGAACAGAGATGACATCCTGAAACATTTATCTCCTGCCTTCTGGAAGCAATGCAAAGAAATTCTTTTGAATATTTTTCCTATCAGGAGGACTCATTCAACAGGATTGAAAGGTAATTCATATTATAAATTATTTCAAAGGAGAAGAGAGTTTTGATGAAATTCTCACAGATGCAACATACTTAAGGCATTTCCATGTAGGTTCTTCATGGCACTTTAGAAAGAGCTTCAGGCTAGCTCAGTTGGGGGATATTTAAAGAAATGGTCCTCCCAGTTTCTCACCACCATTAGGTGAAGAACTTCAAAACATCACAGCTGTTTATATTCAGCTGTGATGCATGCACATCTTTTTCTGAATGTTGGATCACATGAGGGGGGGGGAGAGGTGGTGATGGTGGTGGTGGTGGTGGATGAAAGAGGTTTAGCAAATGCTGAAAACTTTTTAATGGTAGACCAGTTCTTTATCTGAAAAATTACAGCTAAACGGTTGGACCGGGGTAGGTGATACTGGCAAAGGTGTACCTTTTTTCCACCCTTCTCAAAAAAGCAAAGCTATATCTGGGAGAAAAATGGTTGAGCTGCAAGAGACAAAAAAGTGAGTGATTAATTCATTGGACTTTTCGAGGAAAGAGGAATTGCCTCACCCTGAGGATCAGTTGAAAAATTGTAGCAGGCCTGACATTTCCTTCTCAAGGATGGAGAAAAACAATGGTTCTGAGTTGTGTGGGCTTTGCTGAGATAGGTGGTGGACTTGCTCTTTCTACCAGCAGTGATAATGCTAAGACAGGGGTCTGCAAGCTTAAAAACTCAAAGAGCCACTTGGACCCGTTTCCCACAGAAAAGAAAACACCGGGAGCCACAAAACCCTTCCCGTGCCTGACTATTTCTTGAGCGGCCCCAAAGCTAGCATATATAGTTGAATTAAATGTTTTGTTTTCTTATGAAACTTTTCTTGGATTTATCCATGGTTGGCCGACCGGGGGTTGAAAAGCTCAAATCGTGTGCTGGTGGGTATCGCACATTGGCAGTTGTGATGCATATTTTGAGTGACAGGGAGCCACAGCAGAGGGATGAAAGAGCCACATGTGGCTCCAGAGCCGCAGGTTGCTGACCCCTGTGCTAAGAACAAGAACAGATGCCTCAATAAAACAAAACAAAACAAGGAGTTTTCAAATAGTGTCCACCCCTCCCCCTTTCCTCCCCCCCTCACTAAACTTGCTTATAAAAACAACCAGCAGCATCACAGACATATGCTGAACGGTGCTGGAATTTAATCATCATGGCAAGACAGCCCAGGCCACATTAAATAGCTTGCCAGATGGAAAAGCTGCCCTGTCTTGCTGTGCACAGCACAAACAGCAAACTACCACCAAAATGTTGATGGCAAAAATATCAGTCTGGGACCGCTAAGAATTCCTGTCTGATGGGCCAATTGTTTATTTATTAAGATAAAAGAAATAAAAGGCTACCTGCTTTAGACAATTGACGACAGCCACAATCACAATCTGGTCTAACCTGTTGGAAGACTTACTATTAGGTGGGGTGGGGGGTGGGGAGCAGAAGGGAAATTCAAGTCAAAATAGGTAAGGAATTGGTGAGAGATCACTTAGAAGCTTTGACTCAGTTCAGGTCTCCACCAGTGGATAGACTGCATTACTGGATGTTGAAGAAATTGGGGGATGCCATCTTAGGACTATTTGAGTACAGGGAAAAATCAGAAGATTGTAAAAGAGCTAACATTTTTACAATCTTTTAAAAAGAGAAAAAAATGGGCCGGAAAAGTAGACACCAATCAGCTCAATCTCAATATCTGGGGGGAAAAACCTAGCAAAGGTAATCAAACCATGAGTTTGCAAGTACTTAGAAAGCAACCAGGTCTTTATTGCAACCCAGTAAGTGCTTGTTATAAACAGGTTGTGCCAGACAACTCTTATTGCTTCTTTGTACAAAGTGACTGAATTAGTAGACAAAGAGAACCCTATAGATATAGAATACTTCAATAAGGCATTTCATAAAGCTTACCAGAATCACCTTCTTAATAAAGTGGAACAATGTTGGATGAATGGTCCCATAATAAGGGGATTCACAGTGAATTGCACCCAACAGTTTTTAGTTATTCCCCCTTCCCTTCCCTCTTTATAATTTCAAAGAAAACAAAAAGAAAAAGAAAAGAAAAAATGCTGATAGAAATATAGATTTCAAAGAATATAGAAAGTACAGTGGATAACTAATAAATCTTGAATAACCACCAAGACTACAGAAACGTGACTAATATATTCCAATATACAATTAACAATGGAGTATTATAGTCATTTAATACCCAAACAATATGAGGTTCTTAATGGACATGGAGAAATGTTATGCAGTGGGGACCCTCAAGGTTCTATTCTATACTGAGTGCTTTTTAACATTTTTATAAATGGTTTAGGTGAGGAGAATGGGTTCTCATCAGATCTGAAAATGACACAGATCTGGAAGATTGCTAGCACTTCTGAAGACAACCACAAGTTTCAAAAGGAAATTGATAGACTGGAACATTGGCTCTATTCAATATTTCTCAATGGTGAGAAAAGTAAGGTTCTACATTTAAGTAGGAAAAACCAGATGATGGGTATAGGATGACAAATACAAATAGACAATAAGTGCCTCAACACTAATGCTTGTAACAAACATCTGGGCATCCTAGAAGATGATACATGAAGCATGAACCAACAGTTTACTACAGCTGCTGAAAGAGCTGATGCAATCTTGGGCTGCATCCATAGAGGTGTCATGTTGAGATCATGGGAAGTGATAGTTCTGCTGTATGCTAGTGTTGTTCAGGTCACATCTGGAATACTGTATCCAGGTCTGGTCATCACAGTATAAGAAGGATACTGAGGAATGGAAAGAGTACAGAGAAGAACAACCAGGATGGCCAGGGGTTCAGACATTAAATCCTATGAAGAACAATTAAATAAATTGAATATATTTTACTTGAAGAAGAAACAGCAATACTCTTCAGCAAAACTTCAGTAATTTTAGGCCTCTCACAAGGAAGATATTGATTTATTTTCCCTTGCTTCTGGGGATAAGACAAAAACCAATGGACAGAATTTTACAAAGGGAGATTCAAAACAGGAGAAATTTCCTGACTGCAAGAGCCATTAAAGTTGGAGTCGTACTGTAGATGCTAAATCATGGGACGTTCTCAAGCAAAGGTAGGATAACCATTTGCCTGAGATGCTCTGAAACTCTCATCCTGGCCAACTCCATGATTTTTTTGGTTCTCTGAGAACAATACATGGCTTCCGCTTATAGACAGGTAAAGGTTTTTTTGAGCTGAGAACAATTCTCTCAGAGCTTCAGGGTCAAATACCACCTCATTGGAATGGGAAAGGCTCTGTTTCATTTGATCCATTATCAACTCCAAGGAGCACAATGTTACTCTTCTCACAAAGTATAATCTCTTTGACTTCCTTTTCTACAACTGGATTGATTTCCCCTTAGAACTGAGAAGGATCTCAAAGACTCTTTGACCCTCATTCATGGCCTCTCAATTAAGCATTAACTGGCTTTTGTGTCTACCCATTGAGTAGCAGGCTGAAACACACTGCTTTTTAAACACCAACCCTCAGTCTGTTCCCCACCCCCATTTCTGTTATAAAACATGGCTATCTAACTTACTGAGTTCTCTCACATGTGCATCGGCATGAACACAGGAACAGTTTGTAATTAAGAAAGAATCTATAGACAGAACAAGCTACAACCATATTAATGCTGCTCATACAATGCCCCAGACCACAAACATTCTCCCAAGCCCACTTTGTGCATTATTGTCATTCCACAGCACACGAAGAATTAAAGCTTTGGGGCTCTTGAGATTTTCAGGCATGTCAGGAGCACCTGGTCAGTCCCTGAGATAATGAAATGTGCTACAAATTCAGAAACTTTACAATCCAAGTCGGCCATGTTCCAGTTTTGCTGCACCCTCAAAACAGATTTTGCAAAAGGTCACTGATGAAAATGGAACTTTGGCATATGAGTATACATGGGACAAAAAAATACTGGCAGCTGAATTTATATAAAATTACTGTTTATACGTAACATGATATCCTGGAAAAAATGTACTTAATAACAAAATTTAAAATCAACATTGACATCACTCTTAAAAATAGTAAACATTTAAAAACTTGGAAAATAAATGTGTTTTTTTAACCTATTCCTAAATTGGAAGAATGGGACCCAAAAACTTCTTAGAAATTACAATCCATAGTTTGGTAGCCATGCAGACAAAGTATTTTCCTAAATTTTCCATAATTATTCTTGTAGCACAGCAAGATCTTTAGAAGGGCCTCTCTTGCTCATCTATATATCTGGGCAAGTTCAGCAAAGAGGTGAAATATGATTTAATAGGAAATAGTTACACTTTAGTAGTTAATTTTATATTTTGTAACTAAAATGACATGTATTCTTTAGTTACTTATTTTAGTAGTAGGATTCTTTATAATTGTACTAATGTTCTGTCAATGTCCCATAAATATATACAGAATGTATGTCTTTAGTGCAATGTAGGAGATTCAAGGATGTGTACTAGTGAGTACTTCCTTATCTCTCCTCCTTCCAATTAAATGCTGTATAAAATCAACTTGTTAGAATAATAATTAATCCTGGATGTTGCATTATGCTGCTGATGTGCCCTCATGTGCTATGTACTTTGAATGACCCCTTTACCTGTGTCTCCGTTTTTGTTATCTTATATCTTTATTGCCTGTATTTAGGATCTTTATAAAATGAGTCAATTCTTAAACTTTATTTTATCAATATTCTATATAAGATCTATGTAATCTTGTAAACTTTGATCTTGACTTTTCTGAATGCAAGAGGTCAGACTGTAGTACAGGTCGCTGTAACCTGCTAGCTGTGAAATAATAAAATGCTTTCATGATCCTCTTCAGTGATTGGCATTTTGCTGGGTGATTTTTCCATCAGAGTTCATAGCAGAACTGAGAGTCCTGCAGAGAATCAGCCCCTTCTACTATTTGGGTATTTAAAGATCCCAACAGGCTTTTGATACCCCGTGCAGATCTAGTATATAGACATCGTTTGTGCATCTTCTATACCAGCCAAAGAT